AGACGAGACATTATGATTGTCACAACCTTCAAGATGATAGAATTGAGATGAAGATCGTCAAGAATGACATGTCATTCCTCGAATAGATGGCGAAATACAATGTGTTTGGTATCACGACTTTGGAAGAGAATCGTGATGTTTAGTGATTTTATTAGAGGTAGGAACTACTCTTGACGGTGTTCTAAATGTTTTATTTGAAGGAAGTTATGAAGGCCTTAACAATGACCAAATAATAGGGTGGTCTTCTTGCCCTGATATGGGACACTATAGATGGTTGAGAGGACCTATCAACCATCTTCGAAGAGAGAAAAGATCGGAGTATGTAACAAATATAATTTGCCACATCTTGGACTTCTTCAACATATGAAGACCGCTCCTTGTGGAACTTGTCCCTAGAAGAGGAGGTAATGTCACAGACATATATATTTACCTCAATAGTTACTTATATGATTAAGTAGAAGTAGGTAAAATAGAATAATTTCATAAAGCCTTCTAGAGAAGCTTCTTAGAAGCTTCATAGATGTGATTTTGACTTTAGATGTATTCGTAAGTTAGAAACTTGGCCAAAAAGCTAACCATGTATTGGTAGCTTATGGAATAAGTTACCTCAGTGTAGTAGCATAATTATCAAGGACATGAATCTCGAAGAAAGGGAATCCTCAGTGTAGTAGAAAAATCAAGGTTATAAGAAATCTAAACTATTTGAGGATTGTACTTCTTTAGCTATGATAAATCTAAAATAATTGGATTGGAAAGAGATTTAATAATATTAAATATTACTAAGTTATTATAATTGGCCAAAGTACTATCTTAATTGCTTCAATTCTCTTCCTACTATGGAAAATTCACTTTTAGATATAATCAATGTAAAAGTCACATAATTTGATTTTTTCTATCATAAATTTACATCTTTGGACAAATTTGCTTTAAGATGTATAGAGAGTTTTTTGTTTTTTGTAGACAAATTAATAGTCTAGACCTATTTTGTACTTTTCACTTTGATTGGTTTATTTATCTATCTTTTAATATTATTATATATGTCAAATCCTAATAAATCATCTTTGACTAAGTAAATAAAAGTATAGAATTCTGATTCATAGCAAGTAAAACTTCTATCAAGTCTAAAAACCAAAAATAAAAATGAATTGACAAAATGATAGAAAATCAACCTTAGAAATATAACTTTGCAATACAAGTATTTAACTTGCACTTATTTTTTAAATTTTTTTTCTTTCATCTATCCATTATAGCTCCTTCAAATTTTACAAGTAGTTCATTGATAAGCAAATAATTGTTGGTAAGTTCCTAAAAATATTGGTAGAAAGAATCTTAGGTTAAAATTTTGGAGTTTTGAAAAAAAAATACAAAATTATTTATAAACAATTAGACAAGGTTAAAAGTTTTTTATAGTTTATTAGAATATTGTGATGTAAGGAGATATTTGAACTTTCTGTTCTTCTAATTACAAGTGCCAATTGGGCACCCATTGGGCTACAGCCTTAATACAATGCATCAAGTAAAGAGCTCCAACTTGGTGGCACTATTAGTCTAGAAATCTCTAATGGTTCTCAAACAGGAGCATGTTTCTACAAGTGCATTGGGAAAAGTCTGAAAATAAAAAAGTAAATCGCAAAAGCGATGGAGATTTGGTTTTCCAAGGGGCATGTTAAATCGATGATAATATTCAAGCCTTTTTTTAGGAACTAATCGCCAAAAGTTCGAGTATGGTGACATGTTTGACAGCTCGTGTGAATACAAGCAGCAGATGCAATATTGCAGCACACAATTGTACCACCTACAAATGTCACCATAAATCTTGCGGGACTTTGCTCTCAACTGCTTCATCGCCTCTAGAAGGAACTGGACTGTTGACGGCTAATTTTGTTTTTCCTTCGTAGCAAATGCGTGACTGTCTCTAGTTCTTTTGCGACTGAGATCATTCACATCTTCTTTTACTAAGTGGTTATGGATCACACTTCAGAAGTCTTTGAGAACTTAGATTGTCATAAGCCTCTGTTTCAAAGAGTGCTGAGATAAAGTAAGACAATCTCTGCTATAATGACATACTTTGGGAAAATATAGAGGAAATTAAGAAGGTGAACAAACAGCCAAGTGTACGATTGATTTAACAGTTGGAGTTGCAATGAAGGTACATATTTGATTAGCTTCAAGGATTATTCGTGGGGTCTACGCACCTCTAATACAGATGGGCCCAGATGTCATCGCACTCCAAACTTTTCACGTCATCAGTGCTGGCCTGGTGGTTTCTGTTGTCTGCCATCAGGAATAGAAATAAGCATAATTGGTTTAGATGACCGCTCAAACGGCACGTCACAGATATAGTATCCCTTCCTCTCCAACTGAATGATTTCTCCACGCTGTAAGTTCCGCATGTTAGAGTCTCCAATTGCAGCAGATTCAATTCGGGTTACAGGATTGAGGACAGACACGAAGTTGTCATTCTCCTCGAGCTTTTTCTTGACGATGAGGTGGACTAACTCAACGAGAGTCAGGGGAACCGGCTCTGAAGTCTCAAGAAGCCACGTCAATTTTAGTTTCGTGGTCTTCACCAATCCCTCAACATGCAATTCTCACTAAAGACGAGTAACAAGACCATATTGGTCGCGTTCAACTTTCCCGATGAAACAATTACTCCAATGCATAAGAGAAACTTCCACTCCCTCGGACACAGTAGTGGCATCTGCATGATCAAGCCACATTTTCTTTGTGAAAACGGTGGCCTTCTTCCCGGCAGGCTCATACTTCTTGTGACGCAGGATTACCCGAGTGAAAGGAGTCTCCGGACCACTGCTTAGATCAAGCAGAACTTTACCCTCGGAAAGAACAGCTGTGTGCCTAGGACAAACAGGGTCGATAATCTTCTTGTTGATAGTCCACAGCTTGTCCCACTCCATTAAGTTCAGATTCTTTAATGCACCCTATAATGCACAAAGTGAACACACTTGCTTGAGAACCACTACTGTTAGAATCAAATTAGAGTATCAACGAAGGAGTGTTAATGACACGAGATGTAATAAGTTTTTGCAAAATCAGCACCTGAGATAAGATAAATCTCTTGAGAGCCTCGATTGTGAGACCCCTACGGATAATGCCTTGAACTGTTGGAAAACGAGGATCGTACCAACCTTCCACCCGTCCACTGTCCACGAACCACTGTAACTTGCGCTTGCTAAGAAGAGTATATACAAAATTAAGACGGCTGAAATCCCATACATGAATCTTCCTTAGTTGCATGTCTTCCAGGACTCTGTAATACTGGTCATTCCGATCATGGTACTCACTTGACCGAAGGGCATGAGTAACACCTTCAATGCTGTCCACGAAAGGACATGCGAAGTCATATGTGGGGTAGACCTTGTACTTAGAACCCACACGGTCGGATTACAGCAGTAGTAAACAGGGTCTCGCAGAGATGCATTAGGGTTACTCATGTCCATCTTAGCACGAACACAACACTGAACACCTCTTGTTGAGCCAGCAATCATTTCCTTCCAAAATTTCAGGTTCTCCTCAGCAGTTTGGTTTCAACACTTCGACTCAATCATAGCTTTCCTCTCTAACTGCATTTGCTCCCGCTCTGCGTCATCCACATATGCTTTCTCCTCTTTCATCAACTTTTCACACATCTCCATAAGTTGTGGAAAGTAATCAGAGGTGTACGTTATCACATTGCCCTTCACGCCTAACGTGTCCAGATCTTGCAACGTACTCTCTACAAACCCATCCTTCTCTATCGCCGGATTTGTGTTATCAAACCGAATAATAAGCCGTCCTTTGTGCTTTTGAGCGAAAAATTGGTTCAACAGAGTTGCCTTAGCGTGCCCGATGTGAAGGTAACCACTTGGCTCGGGCGGAAACCACGTGCATACGTTGCCCATCTCTACACCAGGCAAATCCACTTCGAATGAGCCATCCAACTTCTCCTTTGCCTCAGCAGAACTGGACTTTGAAACCTCTGGAGCGGGCTTTCCAGCGCCACGCGAAGGCAGGACATTCGCAATTGCAGGATACTGCACAAGAATGCAATTGTACCATCGTACAAGATTCGGGAATTTGACAGACTTTCCGAAACTTTCCCATCTCGGCCCTGCCTTCGCTAGGTAAGCAACAATGGTAATATCTGCTACAGTGAGATCATTGCCAACGAAGTAGGTGCGCAAGGCAAGGTAGCTGTTTGCGTACGCACAAATTCCCTCGAGCTCAGACCCCACACCAAAGCTAGATGCATAGCTAAGCCACTCATCTACCTGCAAAACAACGAGGGTAAGGGTTTAGGGCTTGGTGCTTTACAAACTCCAATGAAGCTATAAACATAAACTTTCAACAATCCAACAAAAAATACATCAACAGGCGATCTCCAGCCCTTCAGATTTCTGAGACCGACAATATGGTGCTCCAAGCAAGGCACTGCAGGATCTGTCATACCGAGCTTGAGTGGAACGGAGAACTGCGTCGGCGATGTGCAGTATACCATCATATCCGTGAAGACCCTTCACCGCTCTCTAAACTGAACTGTGTGGGCCTTAAATTTGAACTGTAGCCAGAAACCTAACTCAACAACTGTACAATACACCACCAGAATCAACAACCTTGCTTATTTACCTCAGAGGGGTTGCCAACAAGCGTCTGGCTTTCGCTACTCTTGAAAGTATCCATGATCAAGCTCAGAAACTGCTTCACCTCAGCCATCGCTCCTATGTCTCGCTGCACTCACACGCCTTCAGAAAGTTCTGGAGTTTTACATGTAGCAGGTGATCTTGTGAACCCTAGGACTTGGGGAGCAACGCAGAAGGAGAATCATCATCCATCCATCAGCATTCAATCTATTTATATTTCCAATGAAGTTTGGGTGTTCGTATCACGTACAAGTGGTTGGTAACACTCTAAACTCCGAACAAGCATAACTCTGATCCGACAAGTTTAGTTGAATGTAATGTGGGTTCAAAAAGAGCATATGTTCCATCATGTCCCAAAAAGTCTCCCTCCTGACCCACAAATAACGGAGGAAGATGAATCCAGCACGGGGGCTAACGACATCTCTTAGCGCTACATTAGACAATTTGTAACACTCCAAGGCCTCTTCATTCCTCTTGACTTTCATGTATCAGCAAATACAATCGAAATTTAGTCGGAATTTGTGAATTGGAGCGACTGCCGCGACTGAGCGGTTGTCGCAACACACAGCTTAGATATGGGCGCCATACCTGCCATGGCCACGGCAAAGCTTCTTAATCCACGTCTCACTTCCTCCTCCCATTCTCCCTTCTCTTTGTCTCCCTCAAAATGTTTTCCACAATGCTTTCCAATCAGTTCTTCTTCCGGCACTTTTCAATCGAAAGGTGGCGCCCGGCTGATGCGCTTTGCTTCCAATGTGGTGACCGTAATGGGTGGATCTGTCGTGGAGAATCCTCACAAGTTGTGTGCATCTCAGCACGTTGGCAGTGGAAGGTGACTAATATTTCTCTTAGTTTCGCTTCAAGCTGTCTTAAAAGGAGCAATCCTTGTATTTGTGGCGTGATAAAAATATCTGAAGTATGGCGTTCTCAATTTGCGAATCATGAATTTGAGTGTTAATCCAAGTTTCTGGTTGTTCCTTGCTCCGTGTCAGTGCGTTAGTCTGTGCGAATATTGCTTATTTGTCTAGAATCGAAGAGTCGATGAAACTGGGTCCGTCTGAATATCTCACCACGTCGTCAGAGAATGCTGAAATTGTGACTTTACTGCCTAACATTTACTCCTCTTAGTGCCTTGCAGTGTAGAGAGGAACGATGCTGCTCCGACAGGACCTTTGGTGAAGCCTGAGGCGAAAGTACGTTTGGCTTATTAATCAGAAATTGCTGTTTTATATTGCTAGGCCATCGTATCGCTGTTTCGGATAGCATTGAAGCAATTTGAACATTCTTGCTGTAATTTATGCCTTCTGAATCGTATTAGCAATTTGTGACACTGATGCCATTTCACATCACACATGAAGCTCACGGCAAAGGAGGCTGTGGAGGCCCAAATGAACACGCTTGTAGAAAACGATGATCCTCGACCTGATCATGGACTTGAGGTGCATTCTCGATCGACTATCCCACCACATTTCATCTAATGTCAAGACTGTCTCTACACAGCGTAGAACTTCTCTGACCGCATGATTCCAAGCTCATCTACTATGGTACATTGTTTTTCACTTCGTGGTACCATTTTAGGTTATTAACATTGACGACCATGCTCCACTGTTCCTCTTCGGTAGCAAGATGGATGTGGAAACGCTTGTTAGTCTATATGACTTCTGATAGGATACAATCGTCTTGCAGGTCATGTATCAGTTTGCAAATACTGAAGGAATGAATGGAAGCACAATGACACACTACTTCGGATTTGCCTCCGATCTGTACCACTTTGGCCACTTTGCACTAAAGTTCAAGTCCAGGTAAATACACAATCCTTACCATCCTTACTTCATGTCAGACTTTGCTATCCACTTCCATGTAATAACCGCTAATTCACCGCACGATATTGTGCATGATGTCAGATATCCGGAGCTGATTTGTCACGCTGGATATGAGATTATTAGTGTTCTAGAAGACGAGGATCGATGTGAGGTAAAGTTGAAGCTGCTACAAGGGAGGGATAAGGCGGATGCTCAGTTTGTATTTTCCTTATCAAAACGTTCCAGAGGGGTGTTGCCACCCTGCTGGCTCACAGATAGCTTGCTCAAATTGAGTGAAGAAGTGTGAGATGTTTTTGAAGATATGCACACTGAATTGTGGATTCATGTTCATGTTGCATGCTGTGAAACGTTTTATGTTCCTTGCTGCTTGATTCACCAAATGAGAGTCACTTGTAGAAGTGGGCAGGATGGTTGTAATCAATTGGGTGCTGTTATCCAGTGATGCATGCCTCCGGTGCACAGAGCTGGGGTACAGAATCTCTCTATTACCTATTTCTTTGAGGTCCTGCTTTGTTTGTACAGTAACGTTCTCCCCTTCTTCTTCTTCTTCTTTTTTTTTTTTTTTTTTTTTTTTTGTTGTTGGTGTTTGCAATAAATTACAAAGCACTGAAGAATATATATATATATATATATATATATATATACGTATATATAGTTTCTTCTCTTTTTTATTTTTTTTGTTATGATCAATAGATAATTATTATCATCTGAATAATGGTTGTTGCGAAAGAAGTTCTAAGCATGGTCACACTTGATGTTAAGAATGCTTCATCACTTCTTTAAATTATTCCTTTAGATTTATGATATTAGATGTTTAAATACTTTAGTTTAATTGATGAAGTGTTTTCTTAAAGATGTCTGGTCCATTATTATTAATAATGAGTTTATTTCATGTTTAGTTGGTATATGGACTTAGATTTTAATGACAATTGTTAGTGTAATTTATAATTTTTTATTTGATTTTTTAATTCAAAAAATTAGAATTGGTAATGTTATCTTTTTGTAAAACATTATGTAATCTTTGTAATTTTGGTGTATATTTAATTTTTTTTTTTAGATGTATCATATAGTTATAAAAAAAATCTTAGAAATTATAATAACCTAGATTATTGTTGTATAATGTGAAGTCTTATTTGAGAATGCAATAAGCATTTTGGAAGATAAATTCAAAATTGCTACAATAGGGTCTTAACAATTTTGTTAGAATTTTAAATAAACCTCAATTATATGTCAACAATCCTAATCAAACTTTAATTATATCCAAAAGAAGTTATAAAGAAATTATAAAAGAAACACAGAAATTGTTAGAAAATTCTTAAGAAGTAATAATTTTTTTTTTAATAAATTAATAAATCAATAATAAATTTATAAAGAAATCATAAGTAGATCTTTAAAAAATATTAAAAATAAAAATTCTAAAGAAATAACAAAGAAATCCTAAAGAAATGTTAAAAATAAAAATCTTGAAGAAATAATATAAAAATCCTAATAAAATATTAAAAATAAAAATTCTAAATAAATCCTAAATAGATCCTATTCAAATTCTAATGAAATTCTAATGAAATTTTAAACAAATTCTAAACAAATCTTCATGAAATTCTAATGAAATCTTAAAAATATCCCAAGCATTTTCTAATCAAATTCTAATAAAATCTTAAATAAATCTTGTTAAAATAAATAAGTAAAAAAAAAGTAGGATAAATTAACTTGTAGAGGATATTATCTTAGGTATATTACTAATGGTCAAAAGATTGACTCTTGGTATTTAGAAAGGCCAAGAAATAAAGTAGATGAATAAGTAAATAATCTTAAGAGTATAGAAAATAAAGACATATTTTCATAGTAGATAAGATGTCAATGAATAATCTCAATAGAATCTTAAATAGATGTATTCATCAAAGGATGGAAGTTATTTATTAGGACAACAACCACCACTTATAAGTAATGAATATTAGAAGAGAGAGTCATCTTATTCTATCTTTTCTTTGTGTACATCCTTACTAATGGTATGTGTTATGATTTCAAAGTTCTCTTTCTTCAATAAGTTATGAGTCCACTTATCTTTACTCCTGAGTTTTGAAGTTCTTTGAAGTTTTTCTTTTGGTGAAGAGGAAATCTTATTAATGTTATTAATACTAGTATTTAATATCTTCTAACTCCATTTTTGTATTTAGTTGTTCATATAGTTTTACTCTTATTTATTGTTAAGTACATTTATGGTCTTGGAGGTTGTTCAACATCTTAGAATAATATTTTAGAATACTAGTGTTGTGTTTTTTTGCTAAATTATATCATTGGTGTACTAATATTATGCTTTTATGTACTAATTTTTTTTAAAAGATCTTATAGTGAGAAGAAGTTTTTTGTAAGATTAGTAGTGATTAAAGAATAGCAAAGCTTAAGAAGAGGTTTAAATAGAGTATAAGATTTGTGAGAAGTTTTATAAATAAAGTTGAGAGCAATCAAAGAATAAAATCACTAATTTATTCACAAAAAGAGCATTCTAGGTTTTTAAGGTAGTAACATTTTCATCTTGATTTTAAAATCTCTATCTCATCTTTTTATTTTTTATTTTATTTTATTTTATTTATTTTCTTTAATACAACTCTTCTTTAGATATGGCTTCAAGTGATGGTGAGGATATAAAAGTGATTGAGAAATTTAGAGGTAATAACTTCTACCATTAGAAGAAAAAAATGGAGCTTTTGTTAACTTCATTGGATCTTTGGAATATTGTTATTGAAAGTGAAGAGCCTCCAAATGATAATATTGATGTTAAGATGAAGTAAGAATAAAAATGTCATGAAAAAAAAGGCTTTTAGATTGATTGCAAGAAATCTTGATAATGCTAATTTTTTACATATAATTATTTGTAATAGTCTAGCAAAAGCATCAAAGATTCTTTGTAATATCTATGAGAGTTGAAACCTTGCTAATATTCTATAGAAAAGAAGGAAGTTCTTAATGGTAAAGATAGAAGAAAGAAATGACCTTATGACTAATATCAAAAATATAAAAGCACTTGCAAAGTAACTAGCAATCATTGATAAGTTATTTGATGATAATGACATTGTATTGACATTGCTTATGAGTCCTCTAGAGTCCTACAATTGCATCATTTTTGCATTAAAATCCATCAAGATAAAACAACCTATATTAGATTATGTCACATCAAGACTTGTGTGTAAAGTGACCAAAAAGAAAAAAAATGAGTTTCAAATCAATAATTTGATTCTATTTTTAAGACAAGGCAAAGATAGTTATTTTCACCAATGTGATAATTCATAAAGTAATATGGAAAATTACTATATTTATAAAAATCAAGTCATTTTACAAGAAATTTTTACAAAGCTAAAAAAATAAAAAAAATAGAGAGAATACAAACAATACTCATAATAACTCTAATAGAAATGAGTATGCTTTTATGGTAAGTGAAGGAGTCTCTATAGCTTTTATGTCTTAGGAAATTATAGATTTGGGTGCTACTAAGCACATGATACTATATAAGTTTTTATTATTTTTATGAAATAATTTTAGCAACAAAAATTTGATTGAGAGACAATGGCATGGTGCAAGCTATTGGAATTGACTCTATTGTAGTAGAAATTGTTATGAAGAATCAAATCAAAAGAATCAGATTAAAAGAAGTCTTATATATGCTAAAAATGAATATCCTTTTGGTAATTTAACTTATATCAGATAGTTGCAAGATTCAATTTGACATGAATGGATATTTTGTGAAGACATTGGATGGACGAGATATAACTAAAGGCTTTAGAAATAGCAACTTTTACTTTATTGATTGTAAAAAAGTTAATAGAGCTAAAGTGGTAGTATTTGCTAAGTTTGTATAAGATTAAGAGAAGTTTGGAATTTGGCATCGATGACTTGATTATTTGAATGTCAAAAGCATGAAAGAGCTCTAATTCATTGTAAGTGACTTGAATCTTGATCAATTCAACTACAATGCCATGACACTTACTTACAAAGGTTATATACAAAGCAAATAAGAAAGAACTTTATTTTTAAGTGGAGTTACAACATGTGCTAATAAATTATTGGAGATTGTATATTTTAATATTTGTAGACCAATGATGATTCCATCAATTAAAATAATATATTATTTTTTTATATTTATTTATGATTTTTCAAAAAATATGTGAATTTATATTTTTAAAATTAAAAGATTTGAAGATTTAAAGAGTTTAAGGAACTTGTAGAGAAGCTATATAAGTGCAAGTTTAAAGTGTTGCATATTCTCACAGACACAAAATACAGACTTGAAATCTAACAAGAAGTTCAAGAAGAAGTGACAGAACTAGATTAAACAGATGAGTACAAGAACAACACCAGAAAGGTGAGCTAGAACTCCAAGAGATGTGTTGTCGAGACTGAAGAACTCTTCAGCCTCGATCCCTATATGTACTCCTACTTAAGAAGCTTCTCGAGCTACTTCTATTAACTAGGAAGCTTTTAGAAGGTTCTAGAAACTTCTCGAGCTACTTCTATTAACTAGGAAGCTTCTAGAAAGTTCCAGGGGCTTCCTTTCTAGAAGCTTCTAGAAACTTCTCTTCTATAAGGTTCCAGAGACTTCCTTTCTAGAAGCTTCTAGAAACTTCTCTCTAAAAGGTTTCAGAGGCTTCTCTTCTAGAAAGTTCTAAGGAATATGTCCCTAACATCACTCCCTCCTTTAGCTTCGAGGTCTCTGAGAAGCAATATTGTTGATCAGTACCAACGCAAGAAAATGAAGATCTGTCGCATAACTTCTGCTATGAACTCCAACTGTTGTTCACGAGGCAAGTGGTTCATCGATCCTTGAAGCCAACGGTAGTGGCCTACACCTTTGACTTCTGACCAAGCATAAACTTCCGTGTCCTCATTGTGAAATTGTCGTACAAACACGCCTTCTGGCTGACCATCCTAAGCAGGCTCGATCTCAAATACAATCACTAGTGATCGGTTACTCGGTATCCTCCGTCGTTGTCGTAGTACATGTAGTTCTTCATCTCGGGGTCGCCTTCGTGAGCTACTCGGTTGCGATACTCTGACTGGCATAGTATCTATCTCTTCGCTATCCATATCAAAAGACCAAACTACGATCTATCTTGGAGAAAATAACTACATCAACTACGAATTTTGTTGGTGCTCTCCCCTTTTCTTATATTGTTGGGAGAACAAGCTTCAGAAAGAAGCTATTGTCGAATTGATTTAGGTTTATTAAGATGTCGTTGATGAAACTCCTGTACGTTTTGTAGGGCATTCGCAAGATTTTCAGCGGGCTCCCACGTTCGCTCATTAATGTCATAGCTGCACCAATGAACAAGATATTCTAACT